ATTAGATAAATTAACAATTCAAACAATTAAAATTAAAAATGAAAAAAAATTTGATTTGGTTTCTTCTTCAGAACCAAAAAATAATATTTATTATTTTCTTTTATTAATTGTTCTGTTTCTATCTAATTTCAAGTTTTATGAACATATATTTCTCTGAGCAAAACATATTCTTCTCATCTTTTTTTTGACAATTTATAATTTATGCGTTTTTTTGTTTTTTATTATAATAGAATTGCAGTATAACAAAAATATATTATTTTAATATGATGTGTAACAGGTTTTTCAATGGCAAGGATAATTTCTAAATATAATAGTTAATGAATAATTGAATATAATCTTCAAATATATATAATGTGTAGAGTATGATATCTAAAGAGACGAAATTGAATATTGTTTATTTAAAAAAAATAAAATATAAGACTTAAATTAATTTAATTCAATGTTCATTAAGATATTCAATATTAGAGAATTTTTCGATAATAAACATTCGAATTCTATTCGATATAATCTGATTAGTATATAACAAGAGAAAAAACTATAATGAATGATTTTATTTTTCCCTAAATATAAAACTATATTATGTATTGAATCAGTTCAGCAAATGCCTAATAGTTATAATAAGGTATTAGATTTATTTAACAAAATCAATTATTGATGAGAAATTTTTTTTTTCAAAATTCTTGAATTAATTAAATGTTTGAATTATAATAAAATAAATCATTTAAATTTTTAAACTAAATTTGAATATACTTGAAATGAGAAACATGAGAGAATATATGATTTAGTTGAACATTTTTACAATAAATAAACTCATTTAAATGTTGATTATATTTATTGTTTTGCTGATTAGTATTAATTATATCATCATCGATTAATATTAAATTAGTGTTATCAAATGAATATTGATTTTGACTCTTTTCTACATTTGATTAAATCTTGATAATTATATTATGATGAAAAACATTTCGAGAATATATTTATTTGACTATATCGACAAGTTTTAAGCTAATTATTAGCTGTTTCCTAGGAATCTCAAAAATCAGGTTTTAGAAAATATTACTTGTGATGATTCGATCAGAAGCTTAAGATACCATTGAAAACCACATCGAACGATGCAGAATTGTGAACTCTATCCAATTGTATATAATTCATGATGAAAACAACAAATTATGTCCCTCTACCAACTTTAAAATATTACCGACCATCAACAAACAATTATTCAACCAAATTTAAGATGATAATCCTCATAAAGATTCGTTCAGGTATATAAGCCACTGACGAATCCATAAAGGATGTTTCATAATAATTGTCGATATTTTGTTAACAATACTTTTTATACTTTCTTTCGACGGATAGAGCTGAAATTTTTATCACATATGTATTGAACGAAGATCTTTTATATCTGAAAGTTTCAACTCCCTAGCTTTTAACTAATAGTGAAATTCATTGACAACATTGAAGTACATTAATTTTCCTACTAGATTTTTCCATTTAAAATGCAAAAAAGTGTGTGTGTTCTCTTTTGTTTGTCTTACACTCACACCCCCACTGGTGAGCCAACGTGGTGGCGAAGTATGGCGATTGACACAGTAAAAATTTTGAAATAACGGATAATTGGACAAAAATCATCCAGCAAAACAATTTTTCAAGCAATTGCTACAGCAAAAATTATTATTGCCACATAAAATATTTTGATTCTAGCCCACTACTGCACACTCACACAGCGACACTTAACCTTCGAATGCACTAAAAGCCAACATTTATTGTAAGAGTTGATCATGCCAAAAGTTCGACCTGGTCTGACATGCTGATAGACCGATAGGACAGGTTGACAGCTCACAGTTCTATGAATCGATTTTTTTTCCCAAAAATTGAGTCCAGTAAACAGTTCTTTTCAAATAAACTTGTTCCATTGATAATAGTAACCTAATAATGCTATTCAGTACTTATTTCAGTTGTGAAAAAAAGAATTGGATAACTGACCATAGTTTAGCTCTTTGATTGGAAACTTTCATCCAGCAACGTGTAACACCACTATACATTGTCACTTATTGTATAAAAGTAATGATGATATCACTTCTAATATGTACTTCTGTTTGCATTTATGAAATTCTTATCGATCGAAGTTAGTTAAATATCTTATTCTTGTTTTTCTTTGTTCTTTAAATAAAATTAATTTTTAATAATAAATATGAATGTTATAGAAAAAAAAAAAGACTATATTCAAATAAATAATGAAATAAAAATATTATACATAGATTAGTCATTAATCAATATTTTATTTTTTTTTGTATAAATCATATATTTATTTATTTCTTTTCAAAAAGTGCTGTTAAACCAAAATGATCTGATGGAAATACATGTAAATGTTCTTGATTGTCAATACTTTGATTTCCTATGATTTGAATATCAGTAGGAACAATTGTTTGACTTAGTAAAATAATTCTATCATATCTTGATCGATCTGATGTTTTACAATGAATTTTTGTCATTAAATTAATTTCTGTATCAAATGTGTACCCATGATTATGAGAATCCATTAAATAAGTCCAAACATCAATCCATTTTTGTAATCTATTAAATTGATCAATATTTTCTTGATCATCTCCACGAAAATTAAAATCTCCCATTAAAATAAAACTACCTGAAGAATGATTAAATTCTTTTAGACATATATCTAATTGACATGATCGTTGTTCTTTATTATCTAAAGAT